GAGGGCACCTGGAGAGAGGGGATGCTGTGGGCAGTGGCCCTCAGGTGGCATAGAGCTTGTCCTGCTGAGAATCAAAAGCCAGCGGGTGTGTCCAGGGTGGATAGTTTGTGAAGGAAAGGGCACAGATGAGTTGACGGTGGCATAGGACTTCCTGGCAACAACAAGACTTGGAAGGCCACAGAGAAAAGAGTGAACTTCGCTCTGAGGGCCAGAGGGTCTTGAGCAGGAGATGATGTGATGTCATTTTTTTTTTTTAAGTTTTTGCTATAGGGTGTGTGTGCTTGTTGGAGAGACATAGAGAAAGAGAGAAAGCAGGCCTCAGGGAGATGGCCATGCCACAATCTCTTCTCCTCCATCCTCCCCTTGGGATTTTGGAAATGCATGCACACGCACCCAGTGTGATTTTCAAGCCGCTGGGTCTGGGACTTGAACTGCATCGTCAGCCATATGAGATACAGTGCCTTAACCTCCACGCCACCTGCTGGCCCTATGATGGACATTTTTTTTTTTTTTTTGGAGAGATTTTCACTGTAGGGCGCGTGCGCTCGCCAGACAGACAGAGAGAGACATAGAGACAGAAAGCAAGAAATCACTCCCCAGGGGGGATGGTCACGCCGCAATCCCTTCTCCTCCATTCTCCTCTCGGGATCTTGGGCACGCACGCACACGCGCCCGGTGTGAGTTTTAAGCCACCGGGTCCAGGACACGAACCGCGGTCGACTATGTGGGAGTCCAGCGACATAGCCATTACACTAACTGCTGGTTCCCTATGATGGACATTTTTAAAAACTGCCCCTCGGGGTGGGTATCCTTAGTGATATGGCACCTGGAAACAGGACCTGGCGTGTAGAGTGAGGTAGCACCCCCTGGAGTCCATTGCCTGGCACTGCTGGGCAGCCCTGGTGCATCCATTACCGTAATGGCTAAGCCGCAGTAACCAAGAGGCTCAAAGTACCATGAATTAAAGAAGGGTCTGAGGTGAGCTGTCCGGGCAAGCGCGGCAGCATCTGGTGAAAGCAGGTGGCGGTACAGCCATATGACGGCTCATGAGAGGGACAGGAAGGGGACCGAGTCCAGGATAAGCTGTTTTCGCACACTGGTCACTTCTTCCTTTGGGAACTTGATCTCAACATGGTCATGCCTAACTTCTGCAAAGGAAGTTTACTGAGGGTATTGGGACAAGGTGGCTTCTAGCTGGGCAGCCCGGTGGCCAGCCACCAGCTCATTTCATGGCAGCTGAGACGGATGGAAGTGGTTGGACAGCTGGCCACCTGTACCACGTGGCCTCGGTGACCTGCCTGTAAAGCGGAGAAGAGAGCAGAATGGGCGGGGGAAGCTGTGGGTCGAATGCTGTTTCCAAGGGGCTCCTGGATGCTGTCACTCAGCTGTCAAGATTGCCATGCTGACGGACATACTACATCTATAGGTGAAGGGTCCGTTCTGTGTGGCCTATGAACACCAGGGCTGGCCCTCGGTTCAGAGATGCCCCACTGAGGCTCAGGGATAAGACCCTTGAGGTCCCCGGGGACTGCCTAACTCTCTCCTGCCACCCCCAGAGCTGTCCTGGTTCCAGACAGTCGCGGAGTCGGCGCTGGGTGTGGAGCCCTTCTCCTACCAGGGGGAGCCCCACATCGTCCTAGCGCAGCCCTTCGCAGGCCGTTGTCTGATCCTCACCTGGGACTACAGCCTGCAGCGCTTCCGGCAGGAAGAGGAGCTGTCGGGTGAGCCCCCACACCCCGCCCTCCTGCCTACCCAGTCGCCGCCGCTGCCCAGCCAGCCTGACCCAGCCCCGTGCCCCCACAGCGCCCTCCGTGGTGTCCTGCAAGCCGCTGGTGCTGGGCTCGCGCCTCTTCGTGCTTGCG